GGCCTGCTGGCCGTGCCGGAGCCCCTTCCTCCGGGGCGCACCCGGGGCCTGCTCCCGCGTCCGCTCTCTGGGATGCTAAAGTGGTTCCAGCCCCTGGGCCGGCTTTGCCTTCAGGAGCCCCATCTCCAAGGCTCTTCCCACTCCTGGACTGGCTTTCGACTCCGTTCTCCCTCCGATTCCTCCAACACCCCAGCATAGGCCCTCCGGGCCGAGGCCCCTCAGCCGTCTCTGGGCGCTAAGCTCGGGCGCACCCTCTAGGGCTGGAGCCTGGCGCTCAAGGCCTTCACGACCCGGACCCCCACAACAGAGACGCCCGCCCTCCTCTGCTTCTGCCCTCCCCTGTCCTCGAGCTCCCGGCCCCTTCTCAGAACTACACCACGCAGCCCACTCTGCCCAGAACGTTCATTCCCAAGAGTGGTGGGTCCTCTGTGGCGCCTCGCGCTGCCCTGCTGTTGTCTCAGCGGCCCCTTCTCTCCCGGACCGCCCTGAGGAGCTGCCTCTGAGGCCGGGGCCAGGAACCTCGGCTTTAGGTCAGGCCCTTTTGAGACGGATCCACAGGATCTCAGAACAGGGTCACAACAGTAGGAACTCAGCACCACTGCCAAAAAGTCATTTAGATAACGCTCAGGTTTTTACTTCTAGCTTTTGAAAACCACGATGGAGACACCCTGTCCATGACAGTTCTTATTAACCCGCTCGGCCTTTTGTTCCTTTACTTTTCTTAACGTATTACATCAAATCTCTACCTGAGTTCCCAGAAAACTGAGATCCTGTCCTCCTTTCTCTCTTAGACCCTTCTTGTCCCAGAGAGCAGAGCAGCTCCCAGAGCCTGGAAGTTAGTCTCAAAGCCAGTGAGCCTTCGTTGTCGCCAGACCTGTGTGTACATCAGCCGTCTCACAAGACATGGCGCGGTCACCATAACCACGACGGGTCATGACAGGAACAGAGCTCTGTGGAGCCATGTCCGACAGAGTCCCAAACACGAACACACGTTTTCCATCCCGGTTCATCTGAGTAACTGTGCTTCTTTACTCGTCGTAGCTTTAGCCTTCTGCTAGTTGTTCTTTCCCAA